AGTAGCAAGAAGCTACTAGGAACAAGGGCACCGCTACTAGTAACAAAAGACGTTTTTACTAGTAGCATTCTTGCTACTAGTAGCAAGAAGCTACTAGGAACAAGGGCAGCGCTACTAGTAACAGAGGGCATTACTACTAGTGGAAGCACTTCTACTACTAGTAGCAAGAAGCTACTAGGAACAAGGGCATCGCTACTGGTAACAAAGGGCATTACTAGTACTAGTCGCAGTCATATAACTAGTAGCAAGAAGCTGTTAGGGACAAGGGCAGCGCTGCTAGTATCAAAAGGTACTACTACTAGTAGCATTCCTACGGCTAGTAGTAAGAAGCTACTAGGAGCAAAGCACCGCTACTCAGTAACAAAGGCCATTACTAGCATTCTTGTGCTGGTAGCAAGAAGCTACTAGGAACAAGGGCACCACTACTAGTAACAAAGGGCACTACTACTACTACTATCCTACTTCGAGTAGCGAGAAGCTACTAGGAGCAAGGGCAGGGCTACTAGTAGAAAAGGGCATTTCTACTAGGAGTAGATAGCTACTAGTTTCCTGCTACTAGAAGCAAGGGCAGCGCTACTAGTTACAACGGACATTGCTACTCGTAGCATTCTTGCTACTAGTGAGCTACTACAACAAGGTCACCGCTACTAGTGTCAAATGGCACCACTACTAGTAGCATGCAAGGGCACAGCTACTAGTAGCAAGGGGCATTACTACTAGTAGCACGAAGCTACTAGGAACCGTGCGGAACCGCTACTATATAGTAACGAAGGGCATTATTACTAGTAGCGTTCTTATGACTAGTGGCAAGAAGCTGGAACAAGGCCACTACTACTAGTAACAAAGGGCATTACTGCTAGTAGCATTTCTACTATCAGTAGCAAGCATCTACTAGGAACAGGGGCAGTGCTACCAGTAACAAAGAGCATTACTACTAGTAGCATTCTTACTACTAGTAGCAAGAGGCTACTAGGAACAAGGGCACCGCTACTGGTAACCAAGGGCATTACTACTAGTAGCGTTCCCACGACTAGTAGCAAGAAGCTTCTTGGAACAAGGGCTCCACTACTAGTAACAAAGGGCATTAGTACTAGCAATCTTACTACTAGTAGCAAGAAGATACTAGGAACAAACGGCACGCTACTAGTGGCATTCTTACCACCAGTAGCGAGAAGATACTAGGAACAGGGCACCGCTACTAATAACAAAGGGCATGACTACTAGTAGCATTTTTACTACTAGTAGCAAGAAGCTACTAGGAACAAGGGCGCCGCTAATAGAAACAAAAGTCATTACTACTAGTAGTTAGTAGCGTTCTTACTTTTAGTTCTAAGAGGCTACTAGAAACAAGGGCAAGCTACTAGGAACAAGGGCACCGCAACCTGTAACAAAGGGTATTACTACTACTAGTAGCACTCTCCCTACCAGTCGCACGAATCTACTAGGAACAAGGGCAACGCTACTAGTAACAAAGGGCTTTACTACTAGTAGCATTCCCACTACGAGTAGCAAGAAGCTACTAGGAACAAGGGCACCGCCACTAGCAACAAAGGGGTTAAGTACTACTAGTAGCATTCCTACTACGAGAAGCAAGAAGCTACTAGGAACAAGGGCAGCGCTACTAGTAACAAAGAGCATGAATAGTAGTAGCATTCTTTCTACCAGTAGCAGGAAGCTACTAGGAACAAGGCAGTGCTTCTAGTAACGAAGGGCATGACTACTAGTAGCATTCTAGTTCTTTCTACTAGTAGCACTCTTACTACTAGTAACAAGATGCTACTAGGAACAAGGGCAACGCTAATAGTAACAAAGGGCGTGACTACTATAGTAGCACTCCTACTACTAGTAGCAAGAAGCTACTAGGAACAAGGGCGCCGCTACTTGTAACAAAGGGCGTTATTACTAGTAGCGTTCTTATAACTAGTAACAAGAAGCTACTAGGAACAAGGGCACCGCTACTAGAAACAAAGGGCCCTACTACTACTAGTCGCATTCCTACTACTAGTAGCAAGAAGCTACCAGGAACAAGGGCACCGGTACTGGCAACAAAGGGCATTACTACTACTAGTCGCAGGCTTATTTTTACTAGAAGCAAGACGCTACTAGTATCAAAGGCTTTTACTACTAGTGGCATTCGTACGGCTAGTAGCAAGAAGCTACTAGGAGCACCGCTCTGCTACTAGTAACACAGGACCAATCCTACTACTATTAGCAAGAAGCTACTAGGAACAAGGGCGCCGCTACTAGTATTAAAGCGCGTTATTACCTAATTTGTGGCGTTCTTACTACTAGTAGCAAGAAGCTACTA